AATGAACATCCAACAGATGAGCCTACCTGCTAGTGCCACCAGAATCTCCAACATAGAAATGAAGAGTAGCTCCAAGAGGATCACGGGTATCAATTGGTNTATGTCTCCTAACTGTACCAGCTACACGTCCCACATCCTCGTGCTCTTCTTCTTAGCATAAAGAATGAAAAAATTATACAAAATTCAGAGAANCNTAAGCAAGATAGAAATNATCAGACATCAACGATCTTCAAACACACCTGATTCAGGCACAGGAATTGAAAGAACTGCAACATCTCCCTCCTTGAAAGCCCATTTACTGCCGTTTAAAGACAGGAGTATAACGTCATACCATCCTAAACACATAAACAAAGGCTAGCAGTCACGTAGCTTAGCAGNAACTTGGCAGTGACTCCCAGAGGGCCAGACATAAAANAGTATTGATACGGTTGNCAATCCAAAGAGAGNGACCAGCCTACTAGAGAACATAATGAACAAGTTAAAGACTTGCTAAACTGCGTATGTTATAAGATAGTGAATCAAGGGCACAATCATTTTCCTATATAAACTCTGAGCAAATTATATGAATACCTTCTCAAACAAGGAGAAGAGACAAAGTACAATAAATGGTTTAATAATGAAAAAAAGTGTCTAAAGTTACCTCTCTCTCTTCTTTCGATGGATTTTATTCGAACTTTCACATATGAATTTGTCTCAGCCTGTTCTTCCCATGTACTATAAAGTTGTGCCCGGCATTCCTCAAAAAGTAACGGTTCAAAAACTCTGACATACTCTTCCATAGATTCAAACCGCTCAGGTACACATCGGAGTTCGGTATCCTCTAATAGACAAGAGAATTATGCAACATATATATCAAACTAATTGGGCGACAGAATACACAATGAGCTAATAAGGTAGAAAAAATCATGCTTGGGGAGATATAAGCCATCATCTTCCATGCAAACTAAACATTTCCACTATAAAGACTAAAGAAAGAGGGAAAGCATGCACGAAAAGCAAACTATTATTTCAACAACAGTGCCAGCCTGATGAATAATTTCCATCCTGATGAATAATTTCCATCGACCAGAAACTTGAATAAAAGTTTGTACCTTAAATCAAGATTCAATTACTTCTGGGAAAAGAAACGTAATATTTCACATACCAGGATGACGCCAGAACTTTTCGTTGGTCACCTCTCGTATAAGACGCTCCACTGATGTATCCTGATACTGGGTTCTAATTGTGGCTGGCTTCTTGAAAGTACTTTGGCTGTAAGATACTTTTCTACTAGATGAATGACCGCTCTTTGGCTGCCGTGAATTTGTAGGCTGCTTCCAAGACGCCTGCCTTGACACAGATGATCTCATCCCTTCAGCAGAAGATCCTCCATCCCCGTTCAGCCTCCTAGGCTTACCAAGTAGACCGGAATATGATTCATCATTACTTTCGGACTTCCGTCCAGAGGATTCTGGATGTATACCGCCATTAGAAGGAAGATCAATTGCCTTTTGATCTCTACATAAACCAAGGCTTTGAATTTCTCCCCCAAGCTCAGCAGTAAGGACAGGTTGTGCAGAGTTCTGTCTCCTAGGTGTTGATGTCTTAACAGAACTTGCTTGCTTAACATCTTCCAGATTAAGAAACATGGTCTGCCTACTGCGTTTCTTTCCCAACATTGCCTCTTTACGTGGATCCATCTTTCGTTTCACTATGGTATTAGCACACTTAATTGCATAACTTGCTTCAACTCCTTTAACCTCTCTCTGCTTCACCGCCAAACCTTGTTCTTGTACATCATCTTTCACCGATTCTATTGCAGTTTCCGTCATCCCCTGCTCTCGCAGCAATCTACCCTTGTAGTCAGAATTATCCTTGGCACAAGCATCAGACTCGGTCAATTCCCCTTCTTCTCTGTCATTGGCTGTAGAAGTATTTACAAGATCATCTTCTGTAGGAACTTCATTAAGATCAAATAACATTTTCTCTCGTGAACCCATGTCTTATGTATAGTCATAAACTCCAAGCAAGTGCAAGTAGTATGCTTTGCTTTCTTTCCTTTTGAAGCAAATTCACAAATAAAAGACACCAAGTCTCTGCAGAATTAGTTCAAACCCCAACCAAAATCATTATCAATGAATACACAAATATGGAGCATTGATATTGAATGTAATTCCAAACCCATTTCACTTGAAAAGCTAAAACAAAATGCTTTTGGATTCAAATCCTAAGAACTAGATTAAGATTGAAAACTGAGCATAGCAATCAAACAAAGGCAATCATCACTCAGGTAAACTAAAAAACCTTAAACCATTGATTAAGCAAAACACGCATTGTTTTGAAACGAATTTATCAAAGAGGAAGATCGAAGCAAACGAACCAGTTACAGAGTCGTCGATGGTGGTGGTGGCGGCGGCGACTCCGTCTAGGGCTTCTCTAAAATCGCAGAATATGAATGCCAATCTCACTCTCCTCCGGCAGAAAATCTACTGTGTCGAGCACGAACGATTGAATGATACGACTTAATCGTCCGTTACAGGCGACGGCGAGGACCGGAGATCTGATCAGTTTGTTTTCTTTATCTTCTTCTTCGTCGATTTTCGCGGTTCAACAAAACCAGGACGAGCGAGATTCTGTGGTTTAGAGACGACGATACTCTCTGTATTTGATGGAACTTGGACCGTTGGATTAAGGGGCCAGGTCACAAAATCTAACGGAGTATAGAACGAGTTTGACTTTGCCTCTAAACCTCGGATGGATCCTAGAGGGTTTGACGCATTTATAGGAGATAGATTGATCGCTTTCTCAAATATTAATTAACTAGATTCTTACCCGCACTATGTGCAGGAACATTCGTTGTATATATTGTAAACTATATTTAGTTTTCGTAGTATATCATATATAATATGTTCTAAGTTTAGATATTATATGTCTTTAGCTTATAGGTAGAATCGATTAGTTTGAAATAATATAATAATTTTTGTTTTTAACTTGTTGGTAGAAGTCGAATAGTTTAAAATATTGTATTTTATATTGAATAATCATAAGTTGAAATAAATAGTTGACTATGTTGTATTAAAATGTATAAACAAAAATCGAGTAGTAAATTAGGGTATATTTAAGGGATTTT